CTTCTTAAGTCAGACACCAGGTAGTCAAACCTGCCTTCTGTGGTCTGTAGAGAAAAAGATCATGGAGATAGGATTTGCTGCTTGAATAAGCAAAGAGTCAAGAATGGAATCACAGGCAACAGAACTGGTACAAAACCAAACAGGCCAAGCCAGAGAGTCCATCACATGGTGAGGAACTGCGGGGCTGGACATGGGTTAGTGATCTAGGAAGGGAAGGCTTTCCCTTTGAATGACACCGTCATCCTCCAGTGTCTAGTTCTGCACCAGGCCTCACCGTGGAAGATGGCAGAGAAGGAGCAGCTGCGCTGGAGTTGCCTGCTCCCATTGGTCAGCAGTTCCCAACAGAGGGGGGCAGCAGAGGACTGATCTGGGACCCCAGGTATCTGAGGACTTGTTCCAAAGCTTGAGGGCTGGACTGGCCAGAGCCTGGCCCAGGCAAGGAAAAGGCTACCTGGCTTGACCTCTCCTCTCTCCTCAGCAGGTCTATATCTCCCCTAACAGCCCACAGACTGTCACTTCCTGTAGGAGCTTTCTGTTTTCTGGTGGAGAAGCTCAGAAAGGGAAAGAAACCCTCTAGAAGCCACACAGCTAGGGAGCTTCCAGGCAGGCCTGACTCAGCTCTGACTCTACAGTCAACTCTCAGCTCTTTGAGCTTGAAATACCCTGCCTAAGGCTGAAGATAGGGCCAGGGCTCCCTCTGCTTCCTGCTCTCCTGCTTCAGGGGATACCTGCGGCAGGCAGAGAAGTGGAGGTGGCAGGCGCTGCAGGGACTGGGGTGGCGGGAGGGAGGTGCGGTAATGAATGTGGACGGGAGGCGGAATGAGCGATCCATCTTTGCATGGGAGGGGAGGGGGCTGCAGGCGTTTCCCCCACACACTCACACACTCAATCAGGTGCTGTCAGACCTCCGGCCGCCTGGCATTTTGGTGAAGAATCTCTCAGCTAAAAATTGTTGTCAGTCCCATTTCCTCGTTATCAGTGCAAGGGCTGAGGCAGCGCCCGGGGATTAGCAGGAGCGGCGAGCGCCCGCGCCCGCCATCCACTGCCGATAACACTGGGCCTCCCGCCTCACCTCCCCCATTCATCATCTTTAGCACTGACAGCCCGTCCCAGTCCCTGTCCCCATCCCCTCAAGCTGCCCACGTCTCCCCACTATGCTGTTCAGCCTGGCTCCTGACCTCCCTGGAGAGCTAGGCCTTCTAAAGAGGGAGAGGATTTAACCTAGGCCCGAATGACCTAAACCCACCTGTGGTAAAGTGCTTGGCCAGCGATGGGATGGGATGGGAGGGAGGTCCAGGCGGGAGTAAGGAATGCTCAAGGAGAAGATGCTTTCTGACAGACTGCCCCTGGTGGGCTTGGTCTACCTTCCTGTGATGCTGGCAGAAGGGATTTCTGCATCAGATGGGCAGCTGGGCCAAGGATTTCCAGAGGCCTCTCCGGCCTGAGATAGACTCCTAGATTCTGGGAACTGTGGAAGGGAAGAACCAGATGATGCCTCTTCTCAGGCCTAGGAAGAGTAGGGGGTTGAGAACTTCGTTCCCACCCCCGAAATACCATAGCCCCCTCCTTTTGGCCATCCCCAGCAGTTTTATGGCCCGTTTTATGGCCACTGTAATGGCCCAGGTCAAAAGCTTCAGGGAGCTGTATTCTGGGAATTATGCAAACGAGGAGCAGGCCCAGGGCCAGAGTATGGATTTTGTCATTAAACCTGGGCAGGCCACGTCGTTAGTGCAGTAAAACCCACGTCATGACCACAGGTCTCAATATAAAATTATAGGGAACACAGCGGGGGAGGGGAAGCAGGAGGCCCATGGCCATGCTGACACCTGCCACTCTAACCCCTGAGAAAATGGGGTTGGGGATGAAGGGCATAGGCTGTGGGGTTCCTCTGCTGATTCCTGTCAGTGCTATTCCTGAAGCTGAGAACCAGGAAGACGGCCCATTGTCCCAACAGGAAACTGAGGCCCAAGCTCAGAAAAGTAGATCTCTATGGCAGCAAGGCAGATGAACTGAGAACAGGTATACGGGAAAGCTGATACCTCGTCCCAGGCTTGGAGGGAAGAATCTGAGCTCTAAGAGCCCTAAGAGCCAGAGTTGGCATCCCAGGTTAAAAGAGGCTGAAATCCTGATATTTCCACCTCGGCTCAGACTCCACATCCTAGATCCTACTTTTTCTCCAGTCCCTCTCTTACCATTTTCCCCCTTAGCTCCCAGGCCCTGCCTCAATTTTATCTGTCTCAACAGCCTTGTCAACTCTCCTTTATTCATCCTTCATGCCTCCCATCAAGCACTGCCTCCCCTTTGACCCTCCCATCAAGCATTGCCTCCTCTGGCCCCTTCCTTCCCCTCGTCCGGAGCACCTGTTCATGCCTTCCTCAGCCCTGACCAGGGCTGCACTGACTAGTATCACCAACTTTCCTTTTTGGCTTTCCTATTAGTTTGTGATCTCCTTGAGGCCAGGAATGTGTTTTATTTATCTCCAAACTCCAGTTTCTCCTAGAATAATACCTGAAGTAGAATAATTGTTTAATAAAGTTTACTGAATGAATAAATGAAGCAATGTGATCAAGAGCCAAATACAGGGGTCCCCTCCAGTTCTGAGCCTCAGTTTCCCCATCTGTAAAATAAAGATAATGGCCTGGAGAATATCTAGGGTCTCACTCACCTCTGAGATTCTCTGGCTGAATTAAGTTAGAGGCAGAGCTGAGACTAGAATCCTCATCTCCCCACTCCCAGACCAGGGCCACATCTGCTTTTTTTATTCGGAGCTGCCTTCCAGCTGTCCCCTGAGCATCTGAGATACAGCCACCAAGGCACATGATCAGTAGGGCCCCTCTCCCTCCTCAGAGACCTGGCCAATTAGACTAGAGCCTTACCTACCCCAACCTGACACACACAAAGCCTCCACAGCTGACATCCCAGCTCCACTAAGGTCATCTGGCTTCTAAGACAACCTGTTCTTCATTGCTACCTTGCCTCTCTCCCTTCCTCTTCTCCTCTCCCTTACTTCCTCATTGAACATCTAGTCTATGCTGAGTCTGTTTTCAATTATCTGTAGATATAAAGATGGATAACAAATGGCCTCTGCCCACAAGGAACTCACAACTCATTCACTCATTCATTTGTTCCCATTCTCTGCCTAGAATACTTCTAAGGCACAACTTAAAATTTCATGTCTTTGGTTAAGGCTTCTCTTTTTTATACTCCTCAAGACACAAACCCAGAGTTTTTTATACTGCTCAAGACACAAACCTTTGAGCTCTCAGAAGACTCAATTTTGGCACCCAGAAGAGCCATGGTCATCCTCAGTTTTGTGTTAAAGGGAGGTGGGGTTTTGTGCTTAGCCTGAACTGGGAGCTCCCTCAGGCATAAGGTGCTAGATTTAGCAGATAAAAATATAGGGCATCCAGGCATACTTGAATTTTAGAAAAATTATAGCTTTCTGTCTAAATATGTCCCATGCAACATTTGGGACATACTTACACTAAAAATTATTCATTATTTATCCGAAATTCAAATTTACCTGAGCATCTTATATTTAATCTGGCAATCCTACTCAAGCAACCATCTTGGTCAGCAAGATGGCTTGCCTTTATCTCTCTGAAAGTTGATTCTGACCCTTTCTGGGCACTGGTGGAGAGAAGCAGCAGGGAGAAAGACCTGGGCTAAAGAAGTCCTTTCTATAATCAGAGTTTACATGGATAGGCGGAGATGTTTCTAGATGAATAGGGCTCCTCAGCCAAATACCTGTAAGCAGAGGCTAGAGGAGCATTGAGTGGGGAGAGTGGCCAGGGAAGGGGTTTAGGCATCCCAAGGGAGGAGCACAGGCAAACTTCCGGCTCCTCCCATGGTATTCTCTGGTTACCATCAGAGACAGAGTGGGGACAGATTTCAGGCTCCCAGCTGGCCTGCAAACCAGCTTAGCCAGCGCTAGACCCACGTGTATTCCCACACAATTATAAGGGCATTTTGGAGGGGGAAAACCCAGAATCTGTTAGATTCACAAGAAACCTGTAAGGTTATCCAAATGAGAGGTGGCCAGACCTGAACAGGGAGAATATAGATTCCAGGAATGAACAGGACCTTGTGGTTAAATGAATGTGGGGGATGAGGCGAAGGTTACTGTCTTGGGAGACTAGGTGAATGCAGGTGTCATTAACTGAGATGGGCCCTGCTGAAGAGGTAAGCAGGTTTGGGAGGAGTGAAGAAGTTGAAGAACTTGGTTTTGGATTATTGAGTTTCAGATTCTTTGAGGACATCCAGGCAGGGACATCCAGGCATTGATGTTCAATAGGAGTCTAGAGTCTGGAGAACACAGGAGAGATCTGGGGTAGAGATACAGATTTGGGAGTCAACAGGGCACAGGTAGGAGTTAGAGCAATAAGGAGGAAGAAGATCATCCTGCATGCAAAATAAAGAGAGAAGGGGCTGTGGAAACAACCCTGGGGAAAAGTGATGAGCTGGGAGAGAATGCTACCCTGACATTTAGCTGAGTCCATTTCAGTCTTTTCCACTCATCTGTGAGGGCCCCAAGAGCAGGGACTAGATCTGATTATAGCCTGTGTCCCACTGCTCTGCACTGGGCCTGGTTCAGAGCAGACAGCAGACAATGTTTGTTGAATGACTGCAGGAATGGATCTCCTTTCTCCCTCTTTTCTTCCTTCTCCAGATTTAGGGAGTGTGAAAGTAGTGAGGAAAAGAGAGACAGAATGGGCACCGGATATTTCAGGTGATGTTATGATTAAACCAAGACCTTCACTAACCTGTGTGAAATGAAGTGATCAACATTTGATTGCACAGAGCATCGATTGTGTCTCAATAGATTTCCAAGAGGTGCAGTTGGCTGAGGAAGGGCCAGTCATGGCCACAGCCTCTGGAGCTGCAAAGGGTGATGCTCTGAGGGCTCTGAGACCCTTAGGTTCCCCTCCTCTAGACCAAGAAGCCATAGGAGGCAGCCGCAGCCCAGCTTATATTTCTATCTGTTCTTTTTCCCTCACCAGGTAAGAAAAAGGCAGCAGCATTGTTTGACAGCCAGGCCCCTATTTGCCCCATCTGCCAGGTTCTGCTGAGGCCCAGCGAGTTGCAGGAGCATATGGAGCAAGAATTGGAACAGCTGGCCCAACTTCCCACCAGGTAAGCTACCTGCAAGGGGAGCCTGCTTACCAGAGGATTCCACTCAAGGTTCTAGCCACAGGTCCCAGGAACAGCTGCCGGCCCACACCCCAGCCTCTAGGTAGAAAACAAGGACCTGCTGCCATTCTCCTCTACTCTGCTCTCAATCCTCAGATCCTTCAGCTGAATGGTGCTGCCTTTCCCTTCTTGCTCTATTTTTGGAGATGGGAGGAGAGTGACCTCTCTTCAGGCCTTAGCCTCAAAAGGGCACAAGGGGAGCTAGAAAGGGATGAGCAAATGCCACAGGCCCTACACTGCCATGCTGAGCCTCAGGGTAGTGTAACAGAAGCAGGGACTGGGCCTGGTAGCCCCACCAGAAGTGCAGCCTGGTGCTGCCATCTGGGAGAGTAAGCACTCCTTTCTCCAGGTCTGAAAGATGACGATCTTGAGAATGTGCTGAGGCATGTTCCCCATTGCTCCACCCTACCTTCCTTTCCCTGCCTGAAGGACTAGGCAGAGCCTCTTAGACAATCTTGTGAAGGAGCCAGATTATCAAAGGAAGAATAGGAGTGTAACGAATTACCCCAAATCTTAGCAGTTTAAAGCAACCATTTAATTATATTCGTGGAATCTGTGGAGTCAGGAATTCAGACAGAGCACTGAGGGGATGGCTTGTTTCTACTCCAGGACATCTGGGAAGGCTCAATGGCTAAGAGCTGGGATCATGGGGGCTCCATCACTCACATGTCTGGTGGTCGATGTTGGCTGTCAGCTGAGACTTCAGCTGGGGCTGTGACCAATGAACCTACATTTGGCTTCTCCATGTGGCCTGGGCTTTCTCATAGCATGGCATAGTTGGACTTCTTACATGGCAGCTTAAGACTGTAAAACAAATATTATAATTAACGATATAGAAGCTGGGTCACCTTTCATAACCTAGCCTCAGAAATCACTTAATTTCAATTTTGTGGTACTCTCTTGGAAGGAAGTATTAGCCCACACAAATTCAAGGGGAAGGGACATTCACCCCATCTTTTGATGGGAGGACAAGCTCATGTTATAGAAGAGCATGTGGGATGGGAGAAAGGACTTTGGAAAATACTATCTGCCACAAGGGAACAGCCTGCCCACCAGTTCAGTTCAAGTCATCAAACTTAGCTGATCCTCCTTCCTTCTACCCTCTCACGTAACCTGCCCTCCCTTCCCCCGCCCCGTGCAGGGCGCAGGAGATCCCAAGATGAATCAGAAATGGTTCTGCCTTCAGAAGCTCACTGTATGCGAGCCAGGCAATAGAAACCCAGGGGGAAAGAGGCTGCTCTACAGGAAGGGCTGGAGCTGTGGGGAGGCATTGAGGAGGCACCAACCCCAGCACAGAGCAGAGAAGGCCTCCTGAGGGATGTGAGGCCCGAGGTGAATTTCGAAGGAAGAAGTATGACTTATCTATTGCTGTGTTACAAATTACCCCAAACCCGAGCATCTTGAAACTACATTTATTATCTCACGGTTTCTGTGGACCATCAATTCAGGAACAGCCTAGGTGAGTAGTCGTAGGTAGTTGCATCTTCTGGCGCAGTCTCTCATAAGGCTGCAGTCAAGATGTCAGCCAAGGCTGCAGTCCTCTGAAGGTGTGACTGGGACTGCAAGATCTGTTCCCAAGATGGCTCACTCACATGACTGTCGGCAGGAGGCCTCAGGTCCTTGATACATAGGTCACTTGAGTTTCCCTATGACATAGCAGCTGACTTCCAAAAAGAAAGTGATCCAAGGGAGAAACTAAGGAAGAAACCACAGTGCCTTTTATGATCTAGTCTCAGAAGTCATACACTATTGCTTCCAATATATTCTACTCCGTTCATTAGAAGCAAGTCGCCAAGTCCAGCCCACTCTCAAGAGAGGAGAACAAAACTCTATGAGTTCTACGTCTTGAAGGAGAGTGTCAAAGAATTTGTGGGAATACTTAAAACTACCACAGAAGACCATACTATGATAATAATAATCATGTTGAACACTTGCTATGTGCCAAAGCATACAGTAGTATTACATGGCATCAGTTTATTTAATCTTCACAACAACCCTCTGGGGTAGGTAAGAATTAATACATTTTACAGATGAGAAAACTGAGGTACAGAGGGGTTAAGTGACTTCTCTAAGATTACACAGCTAATAAAGTGGTAAAGATAAGATTCGTGCTCAAACACTCTGACTCTAGCCCACATACTCTTAAAGCTCCCCCCACACACACACACACAGATTCATAGACCCCCCCACCTGGGACTAACCTGGAAGGAGCAGAGAGCGAACTGCAGTTGAGTTTCATACCTTGGCTATCCAGGAAGGTTTGGGGGTAATTTGCTCCCAATGGAGGACTTCCCCTCAACAGGAACAGAAAACAGAGGCAGAGATGGAGGGACCTGCAGAGCCTTGACTCAAGGGTCTGGAGAATGGGAGCCCAAGCTGTCTTTCTGCCACCTCATTGGGGGCCACACTACAGCCTAGTCGCCATGGCCCCACCCCTGCACTGCCCAGGACATCACTTCTGCCCACAGCCTTTCTTGTTCCACCCCCACCCATGACCCTGCACCCATCCCTTCTCCCCCGCATCGCCTCAGAGCATCCCCTACTTCCACAGCCTTACTCCCAAGTCCATTTCCCCACCCAGAGCTTTCACATGTACACCACCTCTCACGTCTATGTGCTGCCTCTCACACTTCTGTGCCCCTCACGTCCAGGCCCAGCTCAGCACCCCCTAACCCCTAGCGCGCCCCCCCACCCCCACCCAGTGTCTGACAGCCGGACAGCGGGATATGCACAGCAAGTGAAATTCCCGTCGGATCGATAAAGCCGAAGCGCTGGCGGCGACGGGTCGATGGTTTTATCTGTCTCGGCCCCGCCGCGCCCGGCGCGCTGACAGTCGGACCGGCCGGCAAAGGCGTTCAAGGGCAGCCGCGCCCGCCGCCCCCTCCCCTCTCCTCTCCGCCCTCCCCTCTGTGCGGCCGCTGAGCCCACCGGACTGCAGGATGGACCGGCCCGCCGCCGCCCTCGTGATTTATCTGGATTTTTAATTGGAAAAAATTTGCGAATTAATTGATTTCAGGAACTTGCCAATTAACATTGTAATTGGGTGCGTGATAAATTCCCTAGGAGCGTGTCAGCTCCCTGCGGGCTAGCGCGGGAGGGCCTCAGCCTTGGCTGCCCTTGCCCCGCCCCTGCCCGCGCTCTGGGAGGCTGGAGGAGAACAGAGGCGGATGGAAAAAGATGTGGCACCTGGCTCCTGAGACCCCTCCCTCTTCCTCTCCTGCCGGCCGCTCCGTGAGCTGGGAGGGGCCTTCCACCAGCCATTTCCCAGTTGGGGAAACTGAGTCCTGAAGGAGAGCAGAGCCCAAATTAAGGCATCCCCTGTATGTGGCACGTGGCCGAAGTCTTCTTCTCCAGCTCTCCAGTCCTCCCTTTCCCCTCTGCTCCATGCCCCCTTCTCTCTGCTGCCCTCCTTTCTTTTCTCTCATCTTCTCTCCACCTGTCCCCTTCTCTCTCTTACCCTGCCTTCGCCTCCTTTGCCATCCCTCCTCATCCTCAGCCTACCTCTTCATCACCCAGAATGGTCACTGTCCACATGGTTGCTCCCCAAGCAGTTCTTCAGGGGGCGTGGAGTGTTGCGCCTTCTGCTTCCCTCTGCCCTCTGGGAGCAGGCTGCTATTTCAGATACCCCCAAGGGCTCACACAGAGAAGCAGGGTTCTTCCGGCTCCCAAACTAGGACTGGCTGCTTTTCACAGACACAGGTACACACATTTATACGTGACATACAGGCACACACGCACACCTCCATTCCAACATCCACACCCTGAGCAAACGGCTTCCCACAAGCACATGGACACATAGACACCTCCAGGAAGAAGAGTCAGAACTCCCGTTGGCAAAGGCTTACACTTTTCAAAGCACTTTTATATTCAAGATCAGAGAGCCGAGCTGTAGGAGAATCACTCTGGAGGCCAGTGTGAGACATGAGTTGGGCATAGAAGCAGGGAGGCAAGTGAGGAGTTTGGGCAGGTCCAGGGACAGATGATGAAACTGACCTAGCACAATGTCAGTGGCAGTGGGAAGAGGGAATGATGAGAGACTGGTGGAGAAAGAAGCAAGAGAATGTAAGTGATGACTTGTGGCATACTTCCTAGAAAGAGCTTTCTGACTTGGGAAGGATAATGGCGGAAAAGCAAATTCTGAGGGGAGGAGGAGATGATGTACAGGGCTCTAGGCATGCTAAGTAAACTGCCTCTGGGATGGCGATTGGGTGACCGGGTATGCGCTGATAGACAGGCAGGAACGTAGATGGGGGCTGAAGATAGAAGGGCAGGTTGGGGAGGGTTACCCTAGACTTTTCTGTGGCCCTCAGGCAAGAGTTTCCACCCAAAGGAAGTAACCTTAGACATGGAGAGATTGCACAAAGATGAAGGTGGGGCTTGGCTTGGTGAAGCCTTAGCTCAAACATCTTTTCTGGGAGGCTTCCAGAGCCACCGCAAGGTCTGGCCTCTAGAATGGGAAGCCAGCTCTCTGGTCAGTGCTTTAAAAGGGCTGGAAGGAGCCAGAGGGAGGCTGGGTGACTCTGGAGGAGAGGCGGGGTGTGGAGATGGCAGTGCCCCCACCCCCACTTAAGCCTTATTTAAGGCCGGCCTCGGTGTTTGGTTGGGTAATGAACTAGATAAACAATTCCCCAAATAGATTAAAACGAAGTGTAACTTACAAAGGCGGCTGGTGATGATGGTTTATTCCCAGGCAGTGCACCATTTCTTTATTTCCAAGGATAATTCAGTGTAAATCACCTTAATTAAAAGTGTCAGCCCAGCCCATGAATATTGTACTTAGGAACGCGTTTCCTGGGTCCCAGTTATAATTTAAAACCCATGGATCACTAGGCAGCGAGTGACTGAACGAGGGAGGAAATTGTTGGGGGCGGGCTGTGGAAACAGGGAGGGACGGAAGGCAGAGCAGAGCGGATGAGCTGGGTGGGAGGCAGGCTGCCTGCTACTCCAGGGCTCAGACCTCTCCTCTCCAAGGCGGCCTTCACCAGACTCCTGCCCCTGGGGGACCAAGCACACTGGAGGTGATCGGGTAGCTAGAGGAAAGGTAGGGCAAGGGATGGGGCTTGCTCAGAGAGAGGGAAGAAATCTGGGATAATATCAGTCCAAACAAGGGAAAGGGAAGAGAATTGACAGGAAAATATCCAGAGGATTGGCAAAGGGAAATGCTGGACATTCTGACCCTCAGTGTCCTCGTTTCTATTCACCAGCATAGTAAACTAAGCCCAGAATCAGCAGGACTCTCCCCAAAGCAGAGAGAAAAAGATCGCAGAGCTCTACGCTCCATCCTAACTCCTGAGTGTCATTAGGGAGCCAAGGTGGGTGGTGGAAAAGCAACACTTTGGACTTGGTCAGACATGAACTCAAATTCCAAACCCTGCACAGACTGTGTGAGCAGAGAGGTGTCACTTAACCTTTGTTAATCAACTTTGTAAAGTTTCTGTGAAGATTAGAGATAACACATATAAAGTACCTAGCCCATGCCTACTGCATGTGGTGGGTACACAATAATTGTTCATTCTTTCCTTTTCTGTTCCAACCTGATCCTGCTCAGAAAATACTTAGACCTCAGTCCAGGTCCGGCGAGAACAATGTTACACAGTAGATTCCTCATTTCTATACCTGTAGGTCCAGGCATGGCACCCAACACAATGCCAAGGTCAGTACTTGTCAATAGCGTGAATGAAGGAATGAAGGAATGATAAAAGTCATGAACCACAAGCTAGTTGCTCCTCAAAAGCAACCAGGTTTCCTCGCTGTATCCCCAGTGCCTAGATCAGGGCCAGGCAGGGAGCAGAAATACAAGGACCATTTATGAACCACGTGTAATTGAATGGAACCTGGTTTGGCTGTCCTTCCCCGTCTATAATGCCCCCACTGTGTGATCAGGCAGACAGCTCTATTTTTACACGCAGACCTTACTGTCTATAATGCCCCCACTGTGTGATCAGACAGGCAGACAGCTCTATTTTTACACGCAGACCTTACCCTCACCCTGCTGCCAAGCCAGGGAGCCCCTGCACTGTGACATACATCTTTGTGTAGCTGTGTGTCCACGTGTCTGGCTTTGTGGGTAAATGAGTGTCTAGGTGTATGTCTGTGCGTGTGAGCGTCTGTATCTAAGCATGCGTTTATGTGAATGTGGGTTAGGGAGCAGTTCTTCATCCAAGTCTGGGTGACTGTTGTGAATGTGACTTTATGGACATGTCTCCAGAAATAGGACTCTGTGCCTGTGCATCTATTTGCTTGTCTGGGCCACCATGTGTGACCACATGTATCTGCGTGACTGTTGACAGAATGATAGAGAGACAATGGATATGTATGTATCTGCCTTTGTACCAGGGTTTCTCAACCTCAGCACTACTGACATTTTGGGTCTGGATAATTCTTTATTGTGAAGGGCTACCCAGTACACTGTAGGATAGTTAATATCCTCTACCCACTAGATGCCAGTAGCAAACTTCCCACCCCAGGCTGTGACGATCAAAAATGTCTCCTGGGGGGCAAAATGGCCTCGGGTGAAAACTACTACTTTTTCTGCATCTGCCTATTTTTTTGCTCACGTATTGGGTGCATCTATGTCTGACCCTGTGTGTGTTCCCTGTGTGTACACCCAATGAATCTGTGTGCGCTCTTGTGTGCTCTGCCTTAGGTATCCATGTGTTTCTTGTGCTTTATGACTATCTGTGGGTGCGCTTTACCCAAACAGCTTGTACAGGTGTCTGTGCAGGGACCCTATGTGAAGGGGCTGTGTCTGCCTCTGTGCGGGATCAGCCAGTGCCTCTGTGTGCATGTATTTGTGCGTGTGGGGTTGGGTGAGTGCACGTGTGTGAATGTGTGAGCACAGATGTGGTAAGCATAGTGGGGGCAGAGGGAGGGAGGGACAGGAACAGGGATATTAATGTTTCTGAAGTGGATCTGATTTGATACGTCTTGTTCCATTGTCAGCATCTGTTTAGCGGGGATTTGTAATACTTTGTGGCTCTGGATCACTCATGCTTAGCGCGGGATGTGGCCTTGCATACCAATTTTGTTATTAAACACAGTTCTCGCCTCCCCCACAGCCCATCCATCACCTCCCGCCCCCGCCCGCTCTGAGCCGCCCACCATATTTCAGGACCCAGCTCCCGCTCGCCTGCCGCGCCCGATGCCGGAGGGCCTGGGGCTGACAAATTGAATCACGGGGAGATCATTCCTGGCCTAACGCAGTTTGCAGCATGTTGGAGGGAGAATTGACAAGAGCTATGTCAGCTCCATCACCCCAATCTCACGGGAGCTAAGAGCAGGGTGGGGACAGGGGGTGGAGGGAAGGGGGCATCCAGGACAGGCAGAATCCTCAGAGCTGATGCCAGAGTCAGGTAAAGCCTCTTTCCCCAGATGCACAAGGGAGCCTACCATGCCTAGTGTCTATATTCCCTTTCTAGGAGCCAGCTCTGGCCCTTAGCCTCTGATGAAGCTGAGCTAGGCTGGGCCAGCTGGGATTGAATGGACTGGGTGGATCATGGCTCGGTTGGGCTGGGCTGGGCTGGGCTAGGCTGGCTATGCCTTCTCTCTTTGAGATCTTCTTGCTATTCTACTCTTGCATGCCCAGGGCAGCAAATGGAATGGTCACCCTGTTCTCTTCTTTCTTGGCAGCAAGAATTCCCTTCTGAAGGATGCCATGGCTCCAGGCACTCCCAAGGTAGGTGGCCAATTGTGTGTTTTCCTCCTGTCCATCCTAACTGAGGCCCACCCAGAACCAGTTACTCTTGAGGACAAAAGCAGCTCTTCTTGAATCCCCAGCTGTCTCTAGGGTTTGACCATAGGTCTAAGGCCTAGGGCTGCCCTGTATGCTTGAGTACATGTATGTATAGTTTGAGCGTGAGCCAGAGTATGCTCATCTGACTTCCTCTTCTTCTACTCAGAACAGGGGTCAAAGCCAAGAATGTCCTGGGAGTATGGGGGACCCAGATTGTAAGGCTTGGGAGACTCAAAGGAAGAAAGTGAGCTGTAGCAAGTAAAAGAAAATATAGAAGTATAGTCAAGACAGCACGGGGCCTTAGAAACCAGGCAGTGGGGGGTGTGTGTGTGTGTGTGTGTGTGTGTGTGTGTGTGTGTACTTTGTCCTGAGGGCAACAAGGAGCCAGGGAGGATGCTGGACTTATTTGGGGAGACAGTCTATACTTCTGAACAGACACTATAGGAAAGAGATTTGAAAGCATTAGATGGAGAAAAGCAAAAGGCAAGTAGCCGGCTCAAAGGAGGGACGAGAGGCCTCAGCATAATGAATAATTTGTACCAAGAACTCCCATAGGTGGCTGCAGAGGCAGATGGTACTGCTTCCCCAAAGGGGATGATTTTGAGGGAGTGGGGACCTAGGGAAGAAGGCTAAATCCTCACTCATTGAGTGTCCCCTTCCCCACCCCTCGGTATAATGTGGCATCCTTTCTCGTAAGTTCTCACGATGGCTGGGAAAGGCAGGACTCTCCAGCCCTTTTAATAGGGACTGAGGAGTGTCAAAGCTTCAGGAAAGGATGACATCTTTCAGGGCTCAGAGTGTATGGAGCGATTAGAGCAAAAGCCAAGAAGAAAATTTGGGGGTTCCTGCATTGGGAGTCAAGATAAGGTACAGCTTCCCCAAAGGGGCAGAAGAGGAACAGTCAGAGTTAGAAGGGCATGATCCCAGACTCCTAAGGGGAAAAAGTTCCAAAACACATGGGGTAGTCAGCAGTCAAATACAGAAAAGCTAGAGAAGAAGGCCATTGTATTCAGAAGCTTTAAAGACACTGGTGACCTCTGAGAGGGCAGTTTTGGGGAAAGGGGCCAGAGTGACAAAATTACATACATCCAGAGGTTGGCCCAACTCCCCTGCAGGCCTTTAAAAAGTGTGGGAGTGGAGTTTATACCTTCATTCAGAAAATCACATAGCAAGATGGACAGAGGGGAAACAGGAACCTAGTCCAGACTTCCATCAGTGCAAGACCTGGCCAAAGAAGCAAAACTCTCACAGCCCCAAAGAAAAGAGATAGGGGTGCCAGGCAGCTGTGGATCATAGAGGTGAGGAGTCACACTCCAGCTTGGCCCAGTCCACAGGATTCAGTGGTTGTGCTTATGGAAGGTAAGTCATGGACAAGCAGCCAGGTCGACCACCACAACCACTGACACCTAAGCATGGCTGGCAGGGCTGGGGATTGGACCCCAGTGAGACTGGTGTTCTAAGGACAAACAGACACAATCCATGTCCTTACCTAGTCCCCACGTTCACAAATGCACACATACCCAGGTCAGAGTACACACTCAGAACATGAAACATGCAGATTCCTGCAACTACCCCCATAGGCATATTGATAACCAGACTCAGAAGCAAGGGCCACTGATCAGCCACTTCCAGATATGTGCTCACACCCTCAAAGCTGACCGTTTCATGTTTCAGAGTCTGTCGCCTGCCTTGACCGAGGCTTTAGGAAAGCAGGTCATGGGTAGAAGAGGCACGAAGTAGAAGGTTTAAGCAAGAGACTGAGAGGACGGCGGGGGAAGGAGGAAGGGAGGAGGAGGAGAAGGCAAGGGGGCCTTAGACAAGATTGATGGCCTCGTTGCCATTAAGAAAAAAATTAGCCGGTGGCGGCTATCATATTAAAGGGTGAAGAAGCCGTGAATTATTTTCTTAAAGATCTTATCGCTTACAATGATAATTTTACCTTCCAAAAGGCCACTTTTAATGAGGCGAAGAGCCAGGCAAAAAGTCATGATTTAATGCCGGGATTTTTTTTTCAAAACACATTTTACTGCTTTTTGGTCCATGTTTAAAAAGCGCCAGTGACCTTTTTTTATTCCGCTTGCCCCAGGTGTAATGCTGAGGCCTCTCAGGGCTTCTAACATAAAGAGAATGGGAGAGAGAGACAGGCAGAGAGAGAGAGAAAGAGAAAGAGAGAGAGAGAGAGAGAGAGGGAGAGGGAGAGAGAGAAACACACACGAGTGAGCTTTCTCATGGTGGTGGGGGGCATAAAGTTCCCCTTCCTCAGTATCCTCCTTAGTACCAGAAAAGAGGAAGGATGTTGCCTGAAAGCCCACCTGTTTTCTGAGCTGGGGACCAAGTCATCCACTAGGCCACTCACTGGGCTGGGTGGGTGAAGAAGGGGCTCCAAGTTGCAGGAAACCCACCCCAGGCCCTTCCCAGCCTTTCCTTCCTCCAGCTCTCAGGATGAAGCTGAGTTAAAGAGCCCTGCCAGACCAGCAGCTGCCCCCTCCCTTCCTAGGGCCTTTGCCTGAGGATGTGCAGCATGGCCACCGCATGCGGGTCACATCCTACGGCTCAGTCGGAGATGAAGGATAAATGGCTGCTCCATCTTTCCCAAATTGCTTTCTTTGGGCTGTCACTGGCGATTTGGCATGGTTTTCTAGGCTGGGGAGGCCTCCTAGGGAATTGTATGCTTCAGGCTCAGAGCTGCACAGGCTGGAGAAGGTGGGGGGAAGAAGTATGGATTGCTTTCAGGCCTCTAGGCCCCCAGTTTGCAGCTGAACAGGCCTTGGCAAGAGCCAGCAAGAGCAGCCGAACGTGCCATGTGGTATTTAATATTGTGGTACTCGCACACAATTTAAAGCAGACAGTTTATTAATCTAAACTGCAGGCGTATGTAGAAGAGGCCGTGTAGGATTGACATGGGGGGATTAGTTTTGCTGGGGTTTTTGCTAGGGTCACCGCCACAGCGCGGGAATAAATGGACCCAGCGTACATCCCTAGCTGCATGCAGGAAACTCATACATACTATTTAATTTACTGTCTCCATAGCAAGGCTGCCATCGGCCTGTGTTAGGGGAAGACAGGGTAGTCGGTATGTGGCTTTACCCGCAACCCTTCGGCGGGGGGGTCCCAGAGTCTCTGCTTACTAAGAGAGAATACAGCGTGTATCATCTCTGGCCACTGGGAGTGGGCTGGGAGTCCATCCCACTGGAGCAAAGGTTAGCTGGAGTCTAGGAAGTTTGGGCCCTCTCAGAGGGTCTCTACCTATCCCAAGAATCAAGTTATCCTCTCCTACAACCACAGTCCCAGGGCCTGACCACATACATGCCTTCAGAATTTCAAGAGTGGTCCCTCTATCCCTCCATCCTCCTTCTCTATTCCTGTCTCCCAAATGCTTCATAGAACTGGAAACTCTAGGGGACTGACTGTAGGTCTCATTCGGCCTGAGGCCACATGTCCTTTTTCTTTTTCCAGTCCCTCCTGTTGTCTGCTTCCATCAAAAGGGAAGGAGAGTCTCCAACAGCATCACCACATTCATCTGCCACTGATGACCTGCACCACTCAGACAGATACCAGGTGAGAAGCGAGTGGGATGGGCATGAGAAGTAAGCTCACTTGGGTGAGAGCTTGGAGGCAGTGTCTGGTGTTAACTCCTCCCTTCTCAGGAGGCAAGAGGAGAAGCCTGAACTGTGTTTGGTTCCCTCTATGTCTAGAAGGCACCCAGATGGCACAGGTGTCAGAGAATGTATCTTAGATAGATGGATTTTAGGAAAAGATATCAAGATCACCAGAGTTCTGGTGGGCGCCAAGCACCTCTAAAACATCCCATCCATCAGGAGGTATCCTCTAGTATTCAGTTTCATAAGGGACATAGCCCCGAAGACATAGCCCCAGATCACCTGCAGACTTCACACTTCAAAACCATGATCCCCTGAGCAAATAACCATTAAGTCCTGCCAAACCTTGGTATCAGTCCCAGAGAGAGAAAGATGGGCAGATATTGCCTGTGAGTGCCTTGGGCAAATGGAGAAGGGAATTAGCACACAATCTTAAAACATCAGAGCAGGAGGGGAGCCTAAGGTTAACATGCTAGCTCTATATGGACCTTCTTTGTGGTTGGAAGGAGAAAGAACCTCCCCCAGAAGCTTCTCTTTCAGAGGAGAGACAGAGCCCTGCCTTTGGAATCCCCAGTCAGATGGAGGAAAACAGGACTCTTCTCCAAGGAATATTTTTTAAATGGCAACAGGCTTTCTCAGGGGAGCACCAATGTGAGAAGGGAGAAACAGCCCTGACTTAGAAACTGCTCTGATGCAGAAAGACAAGGTAGCAAGGACCTATCATCTGGGATAGAGAACCAAGGGTCACTGCTGGTACATATGAAACCTTTGTTGGAATTAGACATGTTCTCTCTGGGCACCCTTTTCTCCCAGATGACACAGTCTTGTGTCAGGGTGCAGAGCTTGGAGAGTGGAGTGACCAGTGTGGAGTGGATACCAGCCTCCACTGGCACCTCTTCCACTGGATACCTTTTTATAGGACTCAAACTGCATACCCCACAGTGCCACCCCTGGGGAGAGATCTCTGCTCTCATGAAACCTGATTTGAGAAGGGCAGTCAGTCCAGTGCCTGGGAGACATTGCCTTCACCCAGAAACCCTGATTTGAATTGGAGAAATGACCCAACCCTAGGAAATTCTGGTCTCATTGGGAGACAAGGCTGTCCCAAAGAGTTTCCCTCAAAGGAATAGACAGAGCCCTGCCTTCAGAGGCCCATCCTCTCTACCCCAATCATAGCATTCAGCCTCACCAGCTGATGAACTAGGAAAAGAATAAGTGTCAGGCACAGGCATAGCATGCTAAGGCATGGCACCAAGGCCTTCTGTGATTTAGATTCAACCTGTATTCCCAGCCTCAATTCCTAATAGTGTCCTCCATGAATCTTATGAGCTATGCTTGCCAAATTATGCTAACCAGTCCCTGGCTGTGTCATTCCTTTCTCGCCTCTGCATTTATACACATGCTGTTTCTTCTAACTGGACTATTTTACCCCACCTCATCAAATTTCTATTTCTCCTTCAACAACCTGCCCAAATCCCATCACCTCCAGGAAGCCTTTCTGGATTACCTATCTCTTCTCATGACTCCTTGTCATCTTATATTATGATCACCCCTTTAGGTATGTTTCCATTGTCCACTGGTATAAAATAAACCATCCCAAAACTTAGTGGCTTAACACAATTTAATAGTTCTCATAATTTGGGGGGTTGAGTAGGCCTTTCCTCACTCATGCAGCTCATTCAGCTGGAAGACTGGCTGGGCTGTAAAGTCCAGAATAGGCTCACCACATGTCTGGGAGATCGGGGGGCCTTGGTTCTCTTCCATGTGGCCTCTCATCCTCGAGTACATTAGATCAGCGTCCTTACTTGGCAATCTCAGGGCAGTGTCACATCAAGAGAGAGAAGGACAAAGCTGCAAGGCTCTTGAGGCCTATACTCTGGAATTCACACATCACTTGTAAAGCAAGTCACAAAGCTAACCCATAACCAAGGGATGAGGAGATATAGCTCTTGATAGGAGTTGTAAAGAATTGTGGCCACATTTAATCTATTACAATGAGCCTGAATCTTCCACTAGATTTAGAGTCCCTCCAAGGCAAGAACCTTGTTTTATCCTTCTTTCCCCCTTCCTTTACTCAAACATTTATCTAGTACTCACTCATGCTCAACTCAGTGTCCTTGCCTTCAAGGGGTTAGATGTGCAAACAGATAATTATAGCCCAGTGTTTTAAATGCTATGACAGGGGCATAAATAAGTGTTTATGGTAGCACAGTGGAAGGAGGAGAAAATCAGAGCAAGCTTCACAGAGGTAATAACTAAACAGAGTTTGAGAGGATGAGTAGGAGTTCATTTTGGTGGACAAAGAATAAAGGGTATTCCAGATCAAAGAAATACTATGTCCAAAGGGCATAAAGGTATAACCCAGAATGATGTATTTGGGGACCTGCTTGCAGTTTGGTTTTGTTAGAATATAAACCACAAGAAAATTGGTAGGAGGTGAAGCTGGAAAGTGCCCCCACGATCTAGCTATGTATTCCATTTCCTGATCTTTACATGCCTGGCATAATTCCTCAATTATGCTGGATTTTTTTTTTTTTTTTAAATCATCAAACTAAGCCTTGAAATCAAGGAGTATTGGCTTCTGGTTTAAATTCCTATTTATTTAGCCTTGCTAGGTTACCTAACCTCTTAACCATTACTTCATTTTACTCTAATAGCAACTGTGCAAGCTGGGATTCATTGCCCCACATTATTGCTAAGGAAACAGGCCTAGAGAGAGGAAGTGACTTTTCTAAGAACACATATATTCTTAGAGGAACAGAGTCAAGATTTGAACTTGAGTCTGTATGGCCCTGAATCTTAGATTGTTTCTCAGCCCTGCACTGGGCTTAAAAACTTCTCTCAAGTATATCCTCCTCCTCTTCCCACTGATAACTCCTACATGCTAAACCATGTGCTGGACGACTAGATAGAGATGACCTCCCAAAAAGAAGGAGCAGATATATAAACTATCAAAATATATAACATCAGAAGGAAGCTAAGGGACTGTGAAAACTCAGAGGAGGCAATTAACCCAAACCTGAGGGAAAGTAAAGCCTTCCCAGAGTCCTGAAGGATGAACAACAGTTAACCAAGCAGGGGGTATGGAACACGAAAGATAATCTAGCCCAGAGTCCAGAGCATGGAGTGCTCAAAGAACTATAGGTAGCTCTGCAAAGCTGAGTATCAGGAAGGCAAAGGAAGAGAGCAGGAGTGCTAGAAGAGTCTGGAGAAGTAGAAAGAGCAGGTCAGAGAAGGCCTGTATGCCATGTTGCAGATCGTCTCGGTGGAGAATCACTGAAGGATTTAAAGGACGGGAGACAGGGTCAATTTAAAGGGGAGACAGGGACAATATAAAGATCACACTATGTGTAGTGCGGGGAATGGGTTACAGTGAGAGATGCAAACCAGAAGGCCAGATTGGAGACAGCTACAAATTTAGAGAGCTCATAAGATTATGAACTGGAGCAGTGACATCCAAGAGAGGTATAGCCATTGAAGAAACACTCAGGGGTATCTGTGCTGGGCTTGGGTTCACCTATGTGACTCACACATGGCCCCAACCCTGGAGTGGTCAGTGCAGATAAAAATTTGTATAAGCTATAATTAAAGTAGAGATGGAAGTAGTACAATGGGTGGAAAAGATATTTTTCAGTTAGGCTTGGCAGGCTGCGTAGGAGATACACAGAGATGGAGATGAAATGATTTAAAAGATCTTTAAATGTAGACTCTGAGATCTAGAGAAGGATGGAGTGTGAGGAATGGAGAAGGATGGGGTCAAGCATCACACTCTCGTTTCTGGTGTGAGCACACCTGAGCGGATAGTGGTATACCCTTATGAACTGGAAGCCAGGAAGAAGGAGCCTGTTTGGAAGATTTCGAGTTCCACGTTTGCCGCGTGGGTGTACAGTGCCTGTGGAAGCTCCAGGCGATGCCCAGGAGACAGCTGAAATGTTGGGAGTCCCCCAGTAATGGGAGTGCTGAAAGGCTAGGGGATGGAGGAGAGAGAGTTGCGACGTACAGCAGGATCCGCGATCGGGAATTCCGATGCCTCCACCCCAGACAACCAGCAGTCCAGCTGCCCTAGGACCGCCGCGCAGGAGGCGGGAGCACGGGCCGGGTCTCTCAGGATGGAATGAGCCCCGCGGTGGGAGGGGGCGTGGAGCGGGATGGGAGGAACGTGCAGCCGCCAACTGGGGCGGGTAGGCTTTGCGGGCAGTAGGAGGGCCCCCAGTGCTGCCCTAGCTGGTTGCTACGGAGTGCTAGCAGCTGTTTCCTGGTCTCGGTCCAGCCCCCCACCATCTTGAACTTTCACCCCTGTCGCGCGACGGCGGCGGGTCACGTGATCAGGGCCAACATGGCCGCCGCCGCCGCTGGGAGCTGAAGTGCCGCCGCCGCCGGGCAGCCGGGGGGAATCCGCCCGCATCGCCGCCCTTGCCGGCTGGGCGG